ATAGATTATACCTTACTTGATGATCAAATCTTTCCAAGATCTTGTAGTTTCTTTTTGATTTGAGTTAAATCAAGCCTATGTGTGTGAAAATCGCACCTCTAGTGTGTGTGTGAGTTCTGGACTTAAATCACATGAAAAATGGGCCAAAACTCCAATTTATAATGCTAAAACTCGAGTTGGGCCGGGTTGGCCCGGCTAGGTACTCATTTTGACTATCAACACTTAAAATATTCATACCTTTTCGCTCGGACCTCCGTTTTCTATGAGGTTTTCGCCTACACGCTCATAAAGAGATAATCTATAACATCGAACAAAAATATTCCAGAAAAGATCTCCTAAAAAAATCCGTTTTACGTATCTATTTGACGTAAAATTTTCCCAAATTCTCTAATATATTCCTAAGAAGTATAATTCTAAAATTTCAAACCTAAACTCCCACTAAATCATAAGTTCTATTTAATCCAATAATTAAATATACTAAGCAAATAATTGGGCATATTAGAAATTGGATGTTACAAATACATCCTCCTTTTGAGGATTTCGTCCCCGAAATCAATGTTGTGGAAATAAAGATGGGTATTTCGCCTTCATCTCATCTTTACGCTCTCACGTCCAATTTGGTCCCCGATGGTGTTTCCACTTGATCAATACCAAGTCTACTTTCTTATTACGTAGTTTCACTTTTCTCTCGTTCAGAATTGATTCTTGTTCTTCAACGTATCTTAATTTCTCATCTACTTTGACTTCGGCTAAGGGCACCGTCTCTTCATATTTACCCAAGCATTTACGTAAGTACCCAACATGAAACACATCGTGTATCCCCGTAAGTTCCTCCGGTAACTCTAGTCGATAAGCTTGTTTTCCGATACGCTCCAATACTTTGAACGGGCCAATAAATCGTGGACTTAACTTTCCTTGTTTTCAGAATCGAAGTACACCACGCCAAGGAGAAACTTTCACCATTACCATATCACCCACCGAGAACTCGAGTGGCCTTTTGCGACGATTTGCATAAGACTTTTAACGATCTTGGGCAGCTCTCATTCTTTCGCAAATAATCTGAATTTTGTCATGAGTGATCTGAATGAGTTCGGGACCAACTA